GACAATCAACATCAGCACCTCAGTTGTTTCCCCGACTCAGACTGCAAGGAATCTGGGTGTGACCCTAGATAACAACCTGTCCTTCACTGCAAACATCGCTGCTACAACCCGCTGCTGCAGATACACGCTTTACAACATCAGGAAGATACGTCCCCAGCTGACTCAGAAAGCGACTCAGGTTCTGGTCCAGGCTCTCGTCATCTCACGCCTAGACTACTGCAACTCCCTCCTGGCTGGTCTACCTGCATGTGCCATCCGACCTCTGCAGCTCATCCAGAATGCAGCGGCTCGTCTGGTTTTCAACCTTCCTAAATTCTCCCACACCACTCCGCTCCTCCGCTGCCTTCACTGGCTTCCGGTAACTGCTAGAATCCACTTCAAGACACTGGTACTTGCTTACCATGCTGCGAATGGATCTGGCCCTTCCTACATCCAGGACATGGTTAAACCGTACACCCCAGCGCGTGCACTACGCTCTGCATCAGCCAAACGACTCGTTGCGCCCTCGCTGCGAGGGGGACCCAAGTTCCCATCGGCGAAAACACGTGGGTTTGCTATCCTGGCTCCAGGATGGTGGAATGAGCTCCCCATTGACATCAGGACGGCAGATAGCTTGCACATCTTCCGGCGCAAACTGAAAACTCATCTCTTTCGACTCCACTTCGAGCGTTAGAACGATTAACGAAGCACTTTTATACCAATAAAGGACTGGCTTATCTAAAGCCAGTTGAGTAGCACTTGAAATGTTTGGCTCTATGAAACCTGATATACTTATATGATTCTGTTTCTTCAAGGTTGTGTCTTCCTGGTCGAATGTACTTATTGTAAGTCGCTTTGGATAAAAGCGTCAGCTAAATGCAATGTAATGTAATGTAACACCTGAACATCAGCAGGAGAGGACTCTTTAAAGTAGAGACATTGCATACTGATATACACCTGAACATCAGCAGGAGAGGACTCTTTAAAGTAGAGACACTACAGACTGATATACACCTGAACATCAGCAGGAGAGGACTCTTTAAAGTAGAGACATTGCATACTGATATACACCTGAACATCAGCAGGAGAGGACTCTTTAAAGTAGAGACACTACATACTGATATACACCTGAACATCAGCAGGAGAGGACTCTTTAAAGTAGAGACACTACAGACTGATATACACCTGAACATCAGCAGGAGAGGACTCTTTAAAGTAGAGACATTGCATACTGATATACACCTGAACATCAGCAGGAGAGGACTCTTTAAAGTAGAGACACTACATACTGATATACACCTGAACATCAGCAGGAGAGGACTCTTTAAATTAGAGACACCACATACTGATATACACCTGAACATCAGCAGGAGAGGACTCTTTAAAGTAGAGACACTACATACTGATATACACCTGAACATCAGCAGGAGAGGACTCTTTAAAGCAGAGACACTACATACTGATATACAGCTGAACATCAGCAGGAGAGGACTCTTTAAAGCAGAGACACTACACACTGATATACACCTGAACATCAGCAGGAGAGGACTCTTTAAAGCAGAGACACTACACACTGATATACACCTGAACATCAGCAGGAGAGGACTCTTTAAAGTAGAGACACTACATACTGATATACAGCTGAACATCAGCAGGAGAGGACTCTTTAAAGCAGAGACACTACACACTGATATACACCTGAACATCAGCAGGAGAGGACTCTTTAAAGCAGAGACACTACACACTGATATACACCTGAACATCAGCAGGAGAGGACTCTTTAAAGTAGAGACACTACAGACTGATATACACCTGAACATCAGCAGGAGAGGACTCTTTAAAGTAGAGACACTACATACTGATATACACCTGAACATCAGCAGGAGAGGACTCTTTAAAGTAGAGACACCACATACTGATATATACCTGAACATCAGCAGGAGAGGACTCTTTAAAGTAGAGACACTACATACTGATATACACCTGAACATCAGCAGGAGAGGACTCTTTAAAGTAGAGACACTACATACTGATATACACCTGAACATCAGCAGGAGAGGACTCTTTAAAGTAGAGACACTACATACTGATATACACCTGAACATCAGCAGGAGAGGACTCTTTAAAGTAGAGACATTGCATACTGATATACACCTGAACATCAGCAGGAGAGGACTCTTTAAAGTAGAGACACTACATACTGATATACACCTGAACATCAGCAGGAGAGGACTCTTTAAATTAGAGACACCACATACTGATATACACCTGAACATCAGCAGGAGAGGACTCTTTAAAGTAGAGACACTACATACTGATATACACCTGAACATCAGCAGGAGAGGACTCTTTAAAGCAGAGACACTACATACTGATATACAGCTGAACATCAGCAGGAGAGGACTCTTTAAAGCAGAGACACTACACACTGATATACACCTGAACATCAGCAGGAGAGGACTCTTTAAAGCAGAGACACTACACACTGATATACACCTGAACATCAGCAGGAGAGGACTCTTTAAAGTAGAGACACTACATACTGATATACAGCTGAACATCAGCAGGAGAGGACTCTTTAAAGCAGAGACACTACACACTGATATACACCTGAACATCAGCAGGAGAGGACTCTTTAAAGCAGAGACACTACACACTGATATACACCTGAACATCAGCAGGAGAGGACTCTTTAAAGTAGAGACACTACAGACTGATATACACCTGAACATCAGCAGGAGAGGACTCTTTAAAGTAGAGACACTACATACTGATATACACCTGAACATCAGCAGGAGAGGACTCTTTAAAGTAGAGACACCACATACTGATATATACCTGAACATCAGCAGGAGAGGACTCTTTAAAGTAGAGACACTACATACTGATATACACCTGAACATCAGCAGGAGAGGACTCTTTAAAGTAGAGACACTACATACTGATATACACCTGAACATCAGCAGGAGAGGACTCTTTAAAGTAGAGACACTACATACTGATATACACCTGAACATCAGCAGAAGAGGACTCTTTAAAGTAGAGACACTACATACTGATATACACCTGAACATCAGCAGGAGAGGACTCTTTAAAGTAGAGACACTACATACTGATATACACCTGAACATCAGCAGGAGAGGACTCTTTAAAGTAGAGACACTACAGACTGATATACAACCTGAACATCAGCAGGAGAGGACTCTTTAAAGTAGAGACACTACATACTGATATACACCTGAACATCAGCAGGAGAGGACTCTTTAAAGTAGAGACACTACATACTGATATACACCTGAACATCAGCAGGAGAGGACTCTTTAAAGTAGAGACACTACATACTGATATACACCTGAACATCAGCAGTAGAGGACTCTTTAAAGTAGAGACACTACACACTGATATACACCTGAACATCAGCAGGAGAGGACTCTTTAAAGTAGAGAGACTACATACTGATATACAGCTGAACATCAGCAGGAGAGGACTCTTTAAAGCAGAGACACTACATACTGATATACAGCTGAACATCAGCAGGAGAGGACTCTTTAAAGCAGAGACACTACACACTGATATACACCTGAACATCAGCAGGAGAGGACTCTTTAAAGCAGAGACACTACACACTGATATACACCTGAACATCAGCAGGAGAGGACTCTTTAAAGTAGAGACACTACATACTGATATACAGCTGACATCAGCAGGAGAGGACTCTTTAAAGTAGAGACACTACATACTGATATACACCTGAACATCAACAGGAGAGGACTCTTTAAAGTAGAGACACTACATACTGATATACACCTGAACATCAGCAGGAGAGGACTCTTTAAAGTAGAGACACTACATACTGATATACACCTGAACATCAGCAGGAGAGGACTCTTTAAAGTAGAGACACTACATACTGATATACACCTGAACATCAGCAGGAGAGGACTCTTTAAAGTAGAGACACTACATACTGATATACACCTGAACATCAGCAGGAGAGGACTCTTTAAAGTAGAGACACTACATACTGATATACACCTGAACATCAGCAGGAGAGGACTCTTTAAAGTAGAGACACTACAGACTGATATACACCTGAACATCAGCAGGAGAGGACTCTTTAAAGTAGAGACACTACATACTGATATACACCTGAACATCAGCAGGAGAGGACTCTTTAAAGTAGAGACACTACATACTGATATACACACCTGAACATCAGCAGGAGAGGACTCTTTAAAGTAGAGACACTACACACTGATATACACCTGAACATCAGCAGGAGAGGACTCTTTAAAGTAGAGAGACTACATACTGATATACAGCTGAACATCAGCAGGAGAGGACTCTTTAAAGCAGAGACACTACATACTGATATACAGCTGAACATCAGCAGGAGAGGACTCTTTAAAGCAGAGACACTACACACTGATATACACCTGAACATCAGCAGGAGAGGACTCTTTAAGCAGAGACACTACACACTGATATACACCTGAACATCAGCAGGAGAGGACTCTTTAAAGTAGAGACACTACATACTGATATACAGCTGAACATCAGCAGGAGAGGACTCTTTAAAGTAGAGACACTACATACTGATATACACCTGAACATCAACAGGAGAGGACTCTTTAAAGTAGAGACACTACATACTGATATACACCTGAACATCAGCAGGAGAGGACTCTTTAAAGTAGAGACACTACATACTGATATACACCTGAACATCAGCAGGAGAGGACTCTTTAAAGTAGAGACACTACATACTGATATACACCTGAACATCAGCAGGAGAGGACTCTTTAAAGTAGAGACACTACATACTGATATACACCTGAACATCAGCAGGAGAGGACTCTTTAAAGTAGAGACACTACATACTGATATACACCTGAACATCAGCAGAAAAATAAAGCGGAGAGAGAAAAGCTAGAAAAAGGAATTCAGAAACAGTAAAGTGGTGATTAGAGAGTATTTGGGCCAGAGGAGGGCAGCATATTCAAACTTAGATTCAATCAAACGTCTGCAACAGTCAGCATCAGTTAAGACTTCCATCATTTCTGTCATGGTCACAATCTCTCATGTCTTGTTCCACTCTTAAAAAATTGACAGTTATCTTCCAGCGAGTGTATTTAGAGATACTGAAAGATGTCCTCTGCTCTGTTTCTCTGCAGCCGTGTGGTTCCTGCCTCCTGCAGTTTGTCTCTTCTTCCTGCTTCTCATCCCGCTCTGGGTCATTATTGCCCGTCGCTCTCCACCAATCAGTGAAGTCCTGAAGTCCGGCTGGCAGCCAGTCATCATGGCCATGTCCATCAGCAGGTGAGCCCACCTATGCGACTCAGAGGTGGGAAGTAGTGGAGTACAAATACTTTGTTACTGTACTTAAGTACATTTTTCTGGTATCAGTACTTTACTCCACTACTTATTTTTCTGACCACTTTTTACTTTTCTTACATGTTGAACACAAATACCTGTACTTTCTACTTCTTACATGTTGAACACAAATACCTGTACTTTCTACTTCTCACATGTTGAACTCAAATACCTGTACTTTCTACTTCTCACATGTTGAACACAAATACCTGTACTTTCTACTTCTCACATGTTGAACACAAATACCTGTACTTTCTACTTCTTACATGTTGAACACAAATACCTGTACTTTCTACTTCTTACATGTTGAACTCAAATACCTGTACTTTCTACTTCTTACATGTTGAACTCAAATACCTGTACTTTCTACTTCTCACATGTTGAACACAAATACCTGTACTTTCTACTTCTCACATGTTGAACACAAATACCTGTACTTTCTACTTCTTACATGTTGAACTCAAATACCTGTACTTTCTACTTCTCACATGTTGAACACAAATACCTGTACTTTCTACTTCTTACATGTTGAACTCAAATACCTGTACTTTCTACTTCTCACATGTTGAACACAATTACCTGTACTTTCTACTTCTTACATGTTGAACTCAAATACCTGTACTTTCTACTTCTTACATGTTGAACCCAAATACCTGTACTTTCTACTTCTTACATGTTGAACTCAAATACCTGTACTTTCTACTTCTTACATGTTGAACTCAAATACCTGAACTTTCTACTTCTCTCATTTTCCAAACAGCTGGTTCCTTTAGTCTGAATGTGTGTTTGATGCGTGATCATTATTCTTTAGAGTAATTGTGTGCCTATTGATTTGAACACGATCCGTGTATCCATCATTTCCTGGTCTTCTCTAAAGCCCCTGTCACACTGTCCCGAAATTGACACCCGATGGACACACGAATATGGAATTGTGAATTTCGCACGAAGATGGCCCCGAACCACACACGAAGGCAACATTTACATTACATTTAAGACATACAACTGCAATGAAAGTAACAAAAACAATTATGTTATAGTACTATGATACTGTACTGATATCTTCAGACTTTGTTCTTTACTTTATCCGTCTTTATATGTAGAAAATATTACGTTTTCTCCGTAATGTTGTTTCCATAACAACAACAACTTCCTGTCAACTGTCCTTCAAAATAATATATTATATCCTTTTTAGTTTCACAGAACACAAATTGGGTTATTTACATAATATATTTACATGATTTTGTTGTGCAATAAAACAACACGATAAAGGAAATGTTCAAATTCGGCTGTGATCGTATCAACATCAGGCCATTCGTGAGGGCATCTAAAGCCATCGTATGACCGCTGGTGGAGTTTCTCAGGCTCCGGCAGCAACTTCGTGAGCGGTGGCAAAATCTTTGGCATGCCAAAAAATTGCCGAAGGACCTTGCGAAGGTTCATTTTCGTGTTGAATTCGTGTGTCAATTGTGCCCTTCGTAAGGCCATCGGGAGGGCATCTTGTTATCATCGGTGCCATCGGGCATTCGCCCCGATCAGAGTGAGGGCGAATGCACCGATGATAACACGAAGATGACACGATTTGACTAGATGCCCTCACGAGTGCCTTACGAAGTTGCCGCTCACGAAGTTGCTGCCGGAGCCTGAGAAACTCCACCGGCGGTCATACGATGGCTTAGATGCCCTCACGAATGGCCCGATGTTGCTACGATCACAGCCGAATTTCAACATTTCCTTATCGTGTGTCCATCGGGTGTCAATTTCAGGACAGTGTGACAGGGGCTTAAAGAAGAGGGACCAATGGAAACGTTGTCATGTTGCCGTTGTTCAGCATGGAAACATTCATTAGCTAACAATGACATTATTGTTCTATTAATATGAAGGGAGGTCAGGTACTCTTTAAAACAGATGGTAGTTATGGGTACTTTTTACTGAAGTACATTTCAAAGCCCTCTTTACTTCTACTTGAGTAAAGGATGTGTGTACTTTGCTACTTCCTCAACTAGAGCTGACACAATATCTTTATATTTATATACCACATGATTATTGTGGCCTCTTTCATTTTAATTGTTGAATCACGTTTGGGAATGTTGCTGTTTTAGATCCAGATGTACAGTATGTTGTCTTCTTCCAGTATTGGTGGTCTGATTCTGGATAAGACGGTGAGCAATCCAAACTTTGAAGGGATGGCCGTGTTCACTCCCGTCATCAACGGTGAGTATAGGATGACCTCCACTAAAGATTTAACATTAACTCCTCTATGTATAAGCGTAATAAGTATAATACAAATACTTCATAAATGGTCAAAACTATGAAAAAAAGTTAAGTATGACAAAAGAGTCAGAATAAAGTTGGTCGAAAATATAATGAAGGATAAAAATAATGACAAATATATCATGAGAAAGTTCATAGTATAATATGTTGAAAATATCCTGAAAAAGTCATAGCACAGTTTACAACGTGATTATGTTTTTAAGGTAATAGTAGACAGGGTTCCCGCGGGGTCTTAAAAAGTCTTACATTTGATAATCAGAATTTAAGGCCTTAAAAAGTCTTAAATATGATGAAAAAAATAAGAAAGGTCTTAAATATGATCGGATTTGAAAAGGTACTTCTGTGTTGCGATCGCGCCTAAATGTGTTTTGGGGGAAATATCCGAGCTGCAAACAATTTGTATTGAAATAAATCAACATGGAACCAGTAATCACTAACTTTGTTTCCCCCGGCCCCTTATCGGAGAACACCCAGCTAGTAACCTAGCAACCAAGCTTCAGCTAGCGGCAGTCAGAAACCTTGGTATCTTCGAATCTACTTACAAATAAATATGGTGAAGTGTAAGTTCAACCGTATTTGGTTGGAAAACATCGAATTTAGTGCTTGGTTGAAACCAGTGGAGGGGAACGTGTTTGAAGCCCCGCTGCACCTTTTGCAAACAAAAATATGTGGACGCTAAATACCGTAGTTAAACACCAATCATACAACAGCAACGATGAAAGATTGTAGCCAAGGCAGCAGAGCTCTGAATAGCTCTTGTCACTCACACACACACACACACACACACACACACACACACACACACACACACACACACACACACACACACACACACACACACACACACACACATACCATGTATACATCACTTCAGGGGACATTACATTGACTTACATGCATTTCCTGGAGACTTATCCTAACCTTAACCATAACATGCCTAACCCTAACCCTAATCCTAAACCTAACCAAGTCTTCACCCTAAAATGAATGATTCCCCTCATGGGGACCTCCAATTAGTCCCCATAAGGGAAGCCAGTCCCCACACGTGACTATGTAAACAGATTTAGGTCCCCACAAGTATAGTAATGCTAGACCACACACACACACACACACACACACACACACCACACACACACACACACACACACACACACACACACACACACACACACACACACACACACACACACACACACACACAAACACAGTTCAGTGTTCATGTTCAGTCATCGTTCTTATGTTGAACGTGAATACATTTACTTTGAAAGTAATTATGGGACGTATTTCTTCTTTCATAGAAATTTTCCTTCATACTTTCTTGCCGTGAAATAGTTCTTAAATTCTATTCAAAGTGGTCTTAAAAAGTCTTAAATTTGAGTTGGTGAAACCCGCAGGAATCCTGAGTATAGTATGTCAAAACATTGTCACAGTAGTTGCTGATATATAAACACTAACACATGTCCCAGTATCTGCTTAAACCTGCACTATTGCTATATATATTGCTACGTTAGTGATTAACTAAATGTTTTTTTTCCATCTTGGCAGTTTTTCCTTTAACTTTAACATGATACATTTACTTGGATCCTATTCAATCAGGAGAGACGTGATGTATGAAATACATGTTTATTACCGGGACGCATGGTATAAGAAAATGATGATTGACAGATTACAACAATGAATTAACTGATGTTTGGAGATTAGGCCCCGGTTTGTAGGATGATCATTCGGGAGGGGAAAACCGCTCCGATGAACCCCCCGGGGTCTAGACACTGGTGGTGGTGATAAGTGGTTCGGTCTGGTCTGAAGGAAGAAGGATTAGCTTGGCCCTGAATTAGGAGACAGGAGGCGAAGGGGTGGAGGAGGGTTGTGCGTTGACACCTGAAATGACAACTGACAGAGAGGGAAGAGCAGATTTAAAGGGGTTAGCAGGTGCTATGATTGGCTAGCTGGGGAGTAACGCCCCTGATTACTTAATGGAAGAGGAGATTGAAGTGACGTGTAACACCAGGGGGTATTGGTCTTCCTCATTGAACTTGCGCTAAGCTTCATTTTAAATTGTATTTGTAATTCACATTGCTTTCACTCAGCTTAGTATATTAATGCTTTTTCCACCACTGATTAAAAACTACATTGCATTTAAGCAGGATTGCATTAAGTGTTCAGTTGAAGGATCCTAATTTAAGAGACCTCAGGGGTGATGAAATTAGGACGATGACTTTGATTAATTAGGGTAAAGTAATATTGTTTAAGATATAATCCTTTTAGCTGAAGCGGAAACAATTTAAGTAATTAATTAATTAATTCTTCCACACGTTTAAAGCGAAGTGACATGTTTTCCTGCTCGGGTTTTGGTGTTTCAACAGAACTTATCTTTGAAGACATTCATAATTAGCTTCGTTATCATCAATAATGTCAACTGATGTAATGTGGAAACTGCTGGAGCATGCGGACGCCCAGCAGCTAATCCAATTATAATTATTTAAAAGGCCTCCAAATTTGGGGGTATTATTAAATCATGAGGTATTTAAGGACCCTCAGAGCGGCGTGGAGGAACAGATGAACCACAAAGCAGCATACTAAGCAGAATTACAATGGAGGGCTTTACATGAACCACAGGCCTGATCAGAATGCCAACTATGTGTTAGCTCCCGTTAGCGTAGCATCTCTGCCAGCCTCAGTGCTACCAAAGACTCCTGCATTTTTCACCGCCCCCCCGTACAGGAAGTGAATTTGCATTACAATACAGAGCTCTCTCCTCTCCTTTGGGACCAGAACCCAGAGCTGGAAGAGCTATTCAAATCTTTTCCTTAAATACAAAAGACTCAAATCTAAATCCGAATAATGAATGCTTTATTCGTCCCACATCGGGTACATTTACAATATTACAACGGCAGAGGGATAGTGCAGATAAAAGGGTTAAAACATAACAAGAGAGGCAAACGCATGTGTAATTAAATCAAATAGAGAGCAACCACTGTAAAACATAAGTACAAGCACATTAAAAGTAAGTGAGCTTGCAGGAGGCAGTTCTAGAAACAATAAATAGTAATAGTGCCAGTAAAAGTCCTGAATTAAAACATTTTACTTCAATAAATTGTACTTAAATCATCAAAATGTTAAGTACTCATTATGTAGAAAGCCTTTTTTTGTAGTGTTTTAATATTATAGTATGTTTTAGTTGCCCTTTTCATCACTAACGAATACATGTTGCATTTAAGATAAGATAAGAGATACTTTATTGATCCCAAATTGGGAAATGTTTGCGTTGCAGCAGCATAAAAAACAACAATATAGTAGTTGTCTTAGGTAAGACAGCTTTTATGTGCGCAGCTCCACTTGCTTGGAACAATCTTCAGCAAGAATTGAAACTGAGCAATCTCATTCCTCTGCATGTTTTTAAAGCTAGGCTAAATGAAATGCTCGTTGATACTATGGGCACTTGTAAATGTCTCTAACTATGTAAATGTATCCTGTAAATATAATGTATGATGTCCTTTATTGTTTCATGGGGAACCTATATGCTGCAGGTCTCCCGTGAAAAAGAGATCTATGATCTCAATGGGACCAATCTGATTAAATAAAGGTTTGAAATGAAATGAAAAAAACAAACCAAAACAAGGCATTGCACATAAGTAGAAAGTAAAGAGTAGAAATAAACACTACTAGAATTTAAACATCTCAAAATAGAATTAAAGGTCACCTATCATGCTATTTGTAGGCAATAGCATAGGACTCAGATATATAAAAATATATAAAAAACCCGTCTATGAAGTGTTTTGCTCAAAACACCAAACAGATCATTCTAGCCATGCCTCGTATCCCTCTATTTCACTTCCTGTTTCAAAAGGGCTGATTTGGGGTATAAAGCTTTAGGAGGGGGCGGAGCTCATGCGGGACCCGGCAGCTACCGTCTAAACTAAATGCTGCCGTGATGAAACGCCATATCATGGATTATCAAGGATTCTTTCTGAAACAGTTTGGAGCTCAAAGGCTTTCTCTCTTGCCGGTTATACCACAAGGTGAGTTCCTTTTTACTTCCTGCTTCTTCACACACATGCTCTCCAGTACAGGTTAGCTCTGAGTGTTAGCGATGCTAATGTAAACACCGACCACATTACGTCCAAAACAGTCGGGCATTGTTTCTGATAGCAACGTTTCTGATTGGGCCGTGGGTCCACATTTCAGATATTACGTCATATCGGACGCAAATCTGGATCAGCTCCGTTGTTCCCCGTTTTTAGAGATTTGGGTACGGAGGAAAAGAGAGAGGGTTTTATTTTCTGACGCTGCGTGAGTTCCCTGACACACCGGGGACACATCTTTATGACCTTGAAGATAAAAATAAATCTATAAAGTTTGACAATAAAACACTATTGAAGGGCTTTAGACACAATATAAAGCAGGATATTATTTACATTCAGAGTGTGGGGAATGGAATATTACATTAAATGTAAATGTAAAATGTGTAAGTGTTGTAGTTCATTAATGTTGAGAAAAGGTTACATACTTTACCTTGTAGATTATAGTATGGCGTCCTATTATGTGAGCGTATCATATTGTGATTTATGTCAAAGTTAACGAGCAAAGGGGCAGCAAGCAGCAACATGTAGTACAAAGCACTATATTTCCCTCTTAATGATGTGGTGTAAACGTGTACAATCTTTGTCTTGATATATGAATACTAGATCACTTAAAACTAAAGAAAATACTAAAAAGTACTTCAAATGTCTACTTTAAAAGGCCTACAATACTTGAGTAAATAACTCCTCAGCCAGAAACACTCCCGATGTTAACTGAAAACGATCCAGTGCTTCGAAGCTCTGCAAACAAAGACATTTTGTTCTGCTGCTTTAATTAAATCAGCCTGAGGGGAGAGCTGTGATTCAAAGAATATGACACAACATCCACACTGCCTTTCCCAAGCATTCAGAGATTTAAAAAACAATATCTAAAGAGTGTTCAATCAAATGTCCTAGATTGACTACTCAGCCTTTCATATGGCAAGTATTAAAACCCTCCTCTGAAAGCACTTATTTTGATTAAATCAAAATGATATCTCTAACTTGGACACCAAAGCGTCTCCTCTGTCCACACTGCCAATCCAATCTTGAAATGAACTAGAAGTTGTTATGGTTGTATTCTTAGTTTATTTAAAGGTCTCCTATCATGCAAAATGCACTTGTTGATGTCTTGTATACATAAATATGTGTCCCCGCCCCGGTGTGTCAGAAAACAAAACCCTCTCTCTTTTCCTCCGTACCAAGTATCTTGGTGTCGTGCTTGACCACAAGCTCAGATGGGATGTTTGGTCTGAGAAAGTAAATGATTGTCTTTTAACGTCGGCAACAGAATGGTTAAGATGTTTTATCTTGCTTTTATTGAAAGTGTGCTCTCCTTCGGCATCAGATGCTGGTTCGGCAACGCCACTGAGGCACAGACAAAGTCAGTCAGGAGGGCCGTAACTTCGTCCAGTAAAGTGTCAGGAATCTAATGTTCTGGTTTTAGAAAGCTTATACAAGGACAGAGTTTTAAAAATGGCACACGATATTGTGAGTGACCTGAGGGCGGAGATATCGTGCCCCTCTGTTTAAAAAGAACAGATCTCGGCTGTCTTTCGTCCCACAAGCCATCAAACTCCTGAATCAATGATGGCTAGGACGCACTGTTTACCCAGCTGGTCGGGCACTGCCCCCCCCTCTCGCAAATGAGGGCCTAGGCCCCTTGTCATGTCTGCCGATATCTGTTTTTGGTATGTCTGTTATTTGTAATCTGTGTCTATGTTGTTGTCAGTGACGTATGTTTTATCTTTTTAAATGCCTTGTGATGTGCTGCAACCCATTTTCCCCTCGGGGACAAATAAACGAATACTACTACTACCCACATCTCTAAAAACGGGTGAACAACGGAGCTGATCCAGGTTTGCGTCTGATATGATGTAATATCTGAAATGTGGACCCACGGCCCTATCAGAAACGTCGCTATCAGATACATTGCACGGCGTGTTTTGGACGTAATATGGTCTTTGTTTACATTAGCAAGCATCGCTAACACTCAGAGCTAACCTGTACTGGAGAGAGTATGTGTAAAAAAGCAGGAAATAAAGAAAGGAACTCACCTTGTGGTAAACCTGAGAGAGAAAAAGCATTTGAGCTCCATACTGTTTCAGAAATAATCCTTGATGTGGTTTGGATGGTCCTGCATGAGCTCTCGTTTTTTTTTTTTTAAAGCTACTGACCCAGAATCAGCACTTCTCTAACAGGGCTGAGATAGAGGGGTATGAAGCATGGCTAGAATGGGTGATCTGTTTGGTATTTTGAGTAACGGAGACCTTTAAATGTGTGTTTCGTTATTGATAAGTGCCACATTTGTCCATTCAAACAGGCGTAGGGGGAAATCTTGTTGCCATTCAAGCCAGCAGGATGTCCACGTACCTTCACTGCTGGACTGTTCCTGGATCTGTTCCCGTTACGATGAGTGGAAACTGTCCCGGACCCTTTGCTACCCTCTGCTCCTCAGGTCAGATATATACAATATGTAAAGAAGAAATACAGGTGTCCTTCATCAGGAGTTATGAATACAAAAGCAGAGATGGCAAAAGTACACACATCCTTTACTCAAGTAGAAGTACAGAAACTCATGTTTAAAAATACTCTGGTAAAAGTAGAAGTACTGACTAAACTTCTTTACTCAAGTAAAAGTAAAGAGGCTTTGAAATGTACTTCAGTAAAAAGTACCCATAACTAGCAGCTGTTTTAAAGAGTACCTGACCTCCCTTTATATTAATAGAACAATAATGTCATTGTTAGCTAATGAATGTTTCCATGCTGAACAACGGCAACATGACAACGTTTCCATTGGTCCCTCTTCTTTAGAGAAGACCAGGAAGTGATGGATACACGGATCGTGTTCCAATCAATAGGCACGCAATGACTCTAAAGAATAATGATCACGCATCAAACACACATTCAGACTAAAGGAACCAGCTGTTTGGAAAATGAGAGAAGCAGAAAGTACAGGTATTTGAGTTCAACATGTAAGAAGTAGAAAGTACAGGTATTTGAGTTCAACATGAGAGAAGTAGAAAGTACAGGTATTTGAGTTCAACATGTAAGAAGTAGAAAGTACAGGTATTTGTGTTCAACATGTAAGAAGTAGAAAGTACAGGTATTTGGGTTCAACATGTAAGAAGTAGAAAGTACAGGTATTTGAGTTCAACATGTAAGAAGTAGAAAGTACAGGTATTTGAGTTCAACATGTGAGAAGTAGAAAGTACAGGTATTTGAGTTCAACATGTAAGAAGTAGAAAGTACAGGTATTTGTGTTCAACATGTAAGAAGTAGAAAGTACAGGTATTTGTGTTCAACATGTGAGAAGTAGAAAGTATAGGTATTTGTGTTCAACATGTAAGAAGTAGAAAGTATAGGTATTTGTGTTCAACATGTAAGAAGTAGAAAGTACAGGTATTTGTGTTCAACATGTAAGAAGTAGAAAGTATAGGTATTTGTGTTCAACATGTAAGAAGTAGAAAGTATAGGTATTTGTGTTCAACATGTGAGAAGTAGAAAGTATAGGTATTTGGGTTCAACATGTGAGAAGTAGAAAGTATAGGTATTTGTGTTCAACATGTAAGAAGTAGAAAGTACAGGTATTTGTGTTCAACATGTAAGAAGTAGAAAGTACAGGTATTAGTGTTCAACATGTAAGAAGTAGAAAGTACAGGTATTTGTGTTCAACATGTAAGAAGTAGAAAGTACAGGTATTTGAGTTCAACATGTAAGAAGTAGAAAGTACAGGTATTTGTGTTCAACATGTAAGAAGTAGAAAGTACAGGTATTTGTGTTCAACATGTAAGAAGTAGAAAGTACAGGTATTTGAGTTCAACATGTAAGAAGTAGAAAGTACAGGTATTTGTGTTCAACATGTGAGAAGTAGAAAGTACAGGTATTTGTGTTCAACATGTAAGAAGTAGAAAGTACAGGTATTTGAGTTCAACATGTAAGAAGTAGAAAGTACAGGTATTTGTGTTCAACATGTAAGAAGTAGAAAGTACAGGTATTTGTGCAAAAGTAAAAAGTCGTCAGAAAAATAAGTAGTGGAGTAAAGTACTGATATCAGAAAAATGTACTTAAGAACAGTAACGAAGTATTTGTACTCTACTGCTTCCCACCTCTGTACAAAAGGAATAAGCGAGTCAAACATGTAAGAGTTTTATTAAAGTCACATCAATCAAATCACAACATGTGAAAGACACAAACCTTTCCAGTAGCTAATTGTCCAAAAAAAACACGTTTTTAATATATATGTGATAATGTAGGTAGTTTTGAACTTTGAATCCTCGGTATTGTGAGAAGCAGCATTTCGATCTCCCCGTCTGTTTCTCACGCCCAGAAAATTGACAATAAAGTTGACTTTGACTTGACTTAGACTGTCTGTAGCTCTCCTGGACATTTTTAAGTGTTTTATTTAATTATTTCCAGCATTTTTAAGCAAACTAGCTCAAAAAACCCAATTGTATGCAACTTGCCCGGCACAAGATGTCAGACAGATAACGTTAGCATGCTAGCTGGGGCATAATAACAAGGGCATTTAGCATCTTAAGAGCCAGATAGTATTTCACACACATGAACATGAACACATGCCAATTTAAAAACAAACGGAACATGTGAACTAAAGAAATAGCCTCTAATACAGAAGGCAGCTAGCTGTTACCCAGTCTTGCTAAACTAAGCAGCTGCTAGCTCTAGCTACACACAGACCTTATATAGATTAGATTAGAAGCATTTATTGGCATTATACAAGCACAACGAGAAGATTAAAGCTACTCCTTCTAAGGTGCCATCAAAACAAGTACATAGTTCTCTGTAAAAGAAACAAGTGTGTTTTTGAAGTTATTAAAGTATTAAAACTTAGAACAATGAAACTGACTTCATAGGAAGCAATCACCTGACCATAGTTTATTCAGCTGTGAAAATGAACACATCAAAATTCAGCTACCCATCATTTCCTTAAACAGATACAAGCACCAGCCAAGAAGAGTTCTTAGAAACACAAGAACATATTTGATGAAACAGAAACTGGACACACTAGCTCACACATCTTGTTTCTTCTCTTTAGATGTTAACTCCAAATCGGCGAGAGTCCTGGTTCTCTTCGTGGTCCCGGGTCACCTGCTCTTCCTCTTCACCATCCACCTGCTGCAGGGGGGCCACATCGCCATGACGACCACCTTCATCATCTGCTACCTGTGTGCAGCGCTGCTTCAGGTCAGAGAGAAACAGAGAGCGATACTCCTACTAGACATAATGAAGAAATAAGCAGCCTTTATATATTACCGTTTTACAATCAGATGTAATCTAACTTTAGATTCTTTATCTACTCTTAAAATTATTATTATTTGATAATTATCTGGGTTTTAATTTGGTTTTTAATGTATTAGTATAATATTTATTTTGTGTGTCTCTTTTTTACACAGCAATTTATGTTTTTTCCTTTACTTATAATTAAAAAACAACTGCTTTTGGATTTGACACATGTTTAATTATGTATTTATACTGTGTTAAAAAAAGTAGTTTCTAACGCACATGTATAGACAAAATATGGCAAATTAAAATGTACCTTAAAGTGCACCTATCATGCTATTTTTAGGCAATAGCATAGGACTCAGATATATAAAAAACCCGTCTATGAAGTGTTTTGCTCAAAACACCAAACAGATCACCCATTCTAGCCATGCCTCATATCCCTCTATTTCACTTCCTGTTTCAAAAGTGCTGATTTGGGTATAAAGCTTTAGGAGGGGGCGGAGCTCATGCGGGACCCGGCAGCTACCGTCTAAACTAAATGCTGCCGTGATGAAATGCCATATCATGGATCATCAAGGATTCTCTCTGAAACAGTCTGGAGCTCAAAGGCTTTCTCTCTTGCCGGTTATACCACAAGGTGAGTTCCTTTTTACTTCCTGCTTCTTCACACACATGCTCTCCAGTACAGGTTAGCTCTGAGTGTTAGCGATGCTAATGTAAACACCGACCATATTACGTCCAAAACAGTCGGGAATTGTTTCTGATAGCAACGTTTCTGATTGGGCCGTGGGTCCACATTTCAGATATGACGTCATATCGGACGCAAATCTGGATCAGCTCCGTTGTTCCCCGTTTTTAGAGATTTGGGTACGGAGGAAAAGAGAGAGGGTTTTATTTCCTGACGCTGCGTGAGTTCCCTGACACACCGGGGACACATGGATGTATAAAAGACGTCAAAAAGTGCATTTTGCATGATAGGTTCCCTTTAAATGCTTTCACCCCAATCTCTGATATTTGAAACATATCTAGCCATTCCCAAATATACTGTATATAGGACAAGGATATATCCAAGGAATTTGCTTTGGTATCTGGTGGTGCGAACATAAACAATCTAAAAACACAGTAGAAAAAAAATAAACATATATGGGGCGAAGCCTGCGAGCTAGTTCAGGCAGTCAACTCGAGCACCAATGATACATGAACACGTGACGCACCTCGTCCCTCTTACAACCACCCAAACACATTCTCCTAAACATGCCGCTCTATTGAAGCTCATGTTCCTGCTGCTGTGTTTCATGTTGCTGCTGCTCGCCTGCCCCCCCCCCAGCTTCCACCTGTAGGCTCGGGGGATAGTTATCTAATCATCACTCAATGTTCTTTGTAAATCTGTGGAGTGATGAGGCCCGAGCCTAGACGCCAAACTCAACTATATGCTGCTTCTAATAAACATATTAAGAAACATGCGAGTTATCTGACTGAAATAAGGATAATACAAAATAAGTACTGTTAAGAAACAATTTAGCATTGAAAAAGGATGCTAAAGACAAGTATGTACACCTAATGTAAATGTAACTATACAAATAACCTTAAAAGCTAAAAAACAAAACACTTAGGATAATGAGTATATACGGCAAACTACAGTGTATTATATTTCAAAGTGGAGGACTGTGCAAAATGCTGGTGGATAATTCCTTATATTTATTATAGCGCTTTTTTCCATGACCCAAAGCGCTGTACACATTACACATACATACATGTAATGGTCATGTACTGTGGACAATACCCACAGGAGCAAATCCAGGTGAAGTGTCTTGCCCAAGGACACGACGGCTTTACAGACGCAGGGGCGGGTTTCGCCCCCTTGATCAATGCACAGCCCACTGCGCCACTCCGCTCCATGATGGATAAAAAGTCACTGTCAGTGGGGGTCCCGGACAGTGTTGCTAACTTGGCGACTTTCCCCCTAAATCTGGCGACTTTCCAGTTATTTCCCGCTGTGTTTTCCCCCACTTTTTGTGGCGTCCATTACAACTACATGCAAAGGTTAAATATGCATAATAGACGATGGCGTAATTTAGCGACTTCTAGCGACTTTTAGGACAGCCAATAGCTACTTTCCTTACCATGGAGTTGGCAACACTGGTCCCGGGCCTTGTTGATGAGGCCATTGGGGATTCATAAAGGTAAGGGAGGCTGTAGCTAGTGCGTTGGTGTTCGGATCAGGGGAGCACAGGTTCAAACCCCACTGCAGTCAGAATGTAGTTGTGTCCCTGAGACACTTCACCCCAAATTGCTCCTGTGGGGATTGCCCACAGTATTGAGTATGTAAGTCGCTTTGGATAAAAGCGTCTAACAAGTAACATGTAATGTAACCATTCATATCTTCCAGGTGGTGATTCTGCTGAACGTGGCCGGCCTGATGGTGCGCTGGCTCTGGAGAAGAGGTCTGGATCCGGATAACTTCTCCATCCCGTACCTCACGGCTCTGGGAGACTTGCTGGGGACCGGCTTCCTGGCTCTGAGCTTCAGACTCATCCAGATGTTCAATTCTTCTAGGACTTGAGTTTGAAACAGACTCCCTGAGGGCATTGTTCTCTGTATGCAAGTGGATTAAACACACTTGCAACAAAGTCATTAGGTTTGAGAAGGAAGGTGCTGATTAAAAAACAAAGGAAGTTAGTGTGCTGTTATATTTGTGCCTCAAAACTGGGCATCCAAATTAGATTTTCTTTCCTGAAAAAGGATAGAATTGTATTTATTTATAGCATTTTGCACGGATCAACTGAGATAATTGCTCAGAATATGCCTTTGTGCTCTGGATTGAGGCACTTTGTAGAATATGGTGATGAAAGTGTTGACTTTCTATATTTGCTAAATCACAGTGCAGTAGTTGTACTCTGAACCAATCGATACCCTCCAGCTTTGCTCAGTAGAAACAACAAGTTGGATTACTGTAGAACAGCTGTTACCTGTTGACACATCTGTAAACCTATTGTCAGTCCTTATGGTTCAGGTGTTTTGTAGTGAGGTTGTATGAGGTACTAATCCATAGTCAGTCTAACAGACAGTAGAGGTGGTCAAGGTCAAATATGGAGAAGCAGACAGGAGTTACGGCACATAAATGCATCATTGCCACCTAAAAAACTATATTATTTTAAATGTATGATTTATTTTCACCTCTTTACCGACAGGGAACTGAACTGGGTTTCTTAAAAAGACCCTGAGACAGAGGTGTACAGGCAGTATGAGAACAATAAAGAGCTTTTTAAACATTAAAGCGTGGAGACATGAGACACTACATACACATATGAACCTAACCATGTGCTTAATAGGGCCCTTTTGAAGTGATGGATCATTGTAGGTAGCTGAATTAGGTTGTTGTTATGCTCCGTATGTCCTCCTGTAAATGTGTAATGCGTCTTTATACTGTAGCATTTTGTAACCACCACTCAAAGCGCTTTACAAAACACACTTTCACCCAGAGACGACCAGACAAGGTGCCACAGTAGCCACACACACACACACACACACACACACACACACACACACACACACACACACACACACACACACACACACACACACACACACACACACAGATGGCAGAGACGACCAGACAAGGTGCCACAGTAACAACACACACACACACACTGATGGCAGAGACAACCAGACAAGGTGCCACAGTAGCCACACACACACACACACACACACACACACACACACACACACACACACACACGGCAGAGACGACCAGACAAGGTGCCACAGTAGCCACACACACACACACACACACACACACACACACACACACACACACACACACACACACACACACACACACACACACACACACACACACACACACACACACACACAGATGGCAGAGACGACCAGACAAGGTGCCACAGTAGCCACAACACACACACACACACACACACACACACACACACACACACACACACACACACACACACACACACACACACACACACACACACCACCTGGAGCTCTTCAGGGTTCAGTTTCCCTCCTGTCTGCGTCTCCAAACTGCTGCATGCCAACACGGACGATAGATAAGCACCAATACAGCCTCAAGATATCAGAAATATCCCTTTAAGGCAATCATTATATGTAACTGTGTGTAAATGTACCGTAACACAAATCAGATGCTGCACCGTCATGATGAATGTTTATTTTTTGTAGCCTAGGTTTAAGCCTTTGTTGAATTGTACTTTTATTTGTTGTGCAGCACAGTTCCACTGAATATAGTATGTTGTTCTATTTTTGTCAACAAATGATTTAGTATTCACTTTTAGAGAAATGCTCGTCTTTCCTGACCTGAAAATGGTAATAGTCCTATTTTCACAGTGACATCAAGCGTGACTGGACTTTGCTTTTACATTTGTAGAAAAGGGAATCTAGGCATAATGTGTCGTTGAAATAAAAAACTGAACGCTGTACTCTGAAGGATATCTGTGTAGTGTGTGGAGTATAGAGGATGCTGCCTTTTCAAACTTAAACAGCTAAATTCGAACCAATAAACAAACATTTTCTTTGCTGAAATGCATTTATTTGAAAATTGTGAGAGAAACTATATATCTATTTTGGTTTGTCCGACCCGTGGAGTCAGCAATAACACAATAAATAAAAACAATTATTGTTACAGAACATGTTTTTCCCACAACAACAACAACAACAACAAAGTCACAGTTGAGTAGAAATGTCTTTTTTCTGCTGGGGTTTAAAATAAGGCCCGCGCTCAGAGGCACGCATGTTTGGAGACATTCACTGTCTGAATGAAATGTAGTTATTAAGAGACTGCAGATTAACATGTGTCGTGCAAATTACACTTCTGAAAAAACAGCAGATATGAAACTGATTAAATTAAATGGGTTTTTCACACTTTTAGGCAGTGAACGATGGATCACTGTGTACAGAAAATATGATTTGCCTTCTTTACAAGAGAACGAAAGTCTTAGTGAAGTTCTTCAGTCTGTAAAAAGGAATTTACTTTGGATCTCCAACAGTGTTTGCAGTGTCCGTAACAAAGGCCTTCACACGGAGAGAGACACCTCTTCAGAAACAACAACTTTTCTTTACAGGAGTCCATTCTCTACCTCATCTGAACTTGAGGTAAGCTGGTATTGAGTAGTTGAAGAGCAGGAAGTCCATTCGGTACAGATTGTACAGCTTCTTCTGGTAGAACGGGCTGATGTTGTTGAAGAACTGCGCCGCCATGTCTCCCGTGGTCCTGGTGCTTTTGGACGAGGAGGGGAAACTGACCTGGTTTTCTACACCTGCCAGCTGTAAGACGTATTGGGAGTCCTGCTCCAGCGTCTCGTATTTCCCCACCACATCGTAGTGGATGAGGCAGGGGTGACACAGCGAGTGCACCCTCTCCCAGTGCTCGTTGAAGGGCTCTTCTCGTTGGGTTGCCGGATCCACGAGGTAGTAAACAAACTCCTCGAAGGACACGTCGTTGCCTCGTTCCATGGCTTCCGGTTGAGGGTCTGAACGATGCCGACGCACTATCTTTGTGCCGTATCGTTTATGAAAAGCGGTGTTGTAGCTCCGCGTGAATTTGTTCCGGTACGCGGACACCAGGCGCTCAAATGGCTCTCGTACGAACACGAATTTGAGATAGGAGCGCAAGCGTTGGTTGATCTGCGAGGTGGAATACTCCGAAAGAGTGTGGAGGTTTCCGGGGACGTGGGCCTCGTTGGCGGGGATTGACAGAGGGTCTCTGAGGGAGCCGGAGACCCCCGTGAGGACCATGAGGACACGCTTCCAGTTGGTGCAGGCCACTTTGGGCACGTAGCAGTACAGCAGGCCGTGCTGGTCGTCCACGATCACGTGCTTCAGGTCCTCGGGGATCAGGACCCTGCGTTTACGAGTGTAAGAGCGACAGGCTTCTTCTAAAACCTCCCGACGACCCTGATGGATCGCCTGCACCCCCGACTCCACCTGCAGGGAGAAGGAGAAGAAGGAGAATTAAACAGGAGGAACTATTTATCGGCAGGAAACCCTAAAGCTATCACTAGTAGCATGTACTGCTGTGGACAGGGGCAACATGTTTTTTAGCAGTTTAAATGTAGGCTATGATATATTTAAAAACAATTATCTTTGAAGTCACCAGAGTCCTTTGATAAAAGCAGCCATTTTAACTCGCAAAACATAGAAGGTGCTACCGCTGCCTCAATAGGTTAGTTTGTTTGTGGTATTGTGTGACTACAGTGATTTAGAGGGTTGATACACAAACACACTGTCCTTTAGACCACAAACCCCTGTGTTCTGCAAAAAGAAAGTTGGGGAAATATCTTCCTATACCTTTCACCCAGTGTTATCAGTTTGCCCTCACTGAGCACAGGTCTGCAACCTCAGGCTGCTCTCAGTGTTTTGTCTCCCTATTCCTGCCTGTTGGCGTCAGCTGGTGTTATAGTGCTTTATTACATGGCTTAGTTGAATACTCGATTCTGATTGGTCAATTCAGAACACGTGACACGTTGTTAATCCAGAACAGACAGACCGCTGTCAAGGATTTATTGACCGTTGTTAAGGACGCTCACATCTGCACAAATAAGTCCGTTCGATTTAACTGTATACAGTTGGGCTGAAAAGCAAACTGCATGCTTCGCGTCGGGCTCCTGATCAGCCTGTCGGTGTAATGACCGCGTCGCTGCACATTATCCCTTACTTATCCTTTTATGCACGATGTTGATTATTCTCTCAGAACTAGCTAAACGCATGCGTCTGGGGTCGAGATCTGCAGCACAAGCTCCAAATAAACCATCAGAGTTTGCCATCAAAGTTCCTCCTCGTGTCTCTCTGAGTCTCCATTGCTTCAGAAGCTTCCATCACACAAAGTAACAATATTCAATTGACAATGGAGTCTGCTGGCTTTAAAGCAATTAGAAAAACATCTATTGCTAATCTACGTCTAATCTAGCAACTGGGCTCTGGTTTCAGACAGAGGGTGAGAAGAGGTGCTGCAGCATAGAGAAACATAAAGAGCTTTTTGAACATTAAAGCACAGGAGACATGTAGAGACATTACATTGCATTTAGCTGACGCTTTTATCCAAAGCGACTTACAATAAGTGCGTTCGACCAACAAGATACAAACTAGAAGAAAACAGAATCATAAAGAACATCAGGTTTCATAGAGCCAAACATTTCAAGTGCTACTCAACTGGCTTTAGATAAGCCAGTCCTTTGTTAGTATATAAGTGCTTTGTTAGTCCTTCTCTGTTAGTAATTCTGTCGCTCAAGTGGAGTCGAAAGAGATGAGTTTTCAGTCTGCGCCGGAAGATGTGCCAGTAGAGACACTAAATACAAATATGAACCGGAAATTAGCGTGATGTCCTCTTTAAAATCTCTGAGAAAGTATCTTTACAGATCTCTCTCCTCTGGAGGTCTTATGGTCCATCCCCATCATACTGCTTTAATTAAAGTCATGAGTCAGCCCGTTCAGCTTGGCCTCCTCATGGCACAAACGTCTTATTAACTTCTCTCCTTTGCTCAGCCCGGCTCACCACTGAGGCCCTGGTTTGACTCGCTGCCGGACACGATGTGTGGCTCTGTGTTTCCTGGCAGACTTCGGAGCATCAAGGAAACTCCGGACCGGCCAAAGACTGCAGAGCCAACACTGACGCTTCTCTCAGATGTATGTTTACAACTCTCTTTAATCCGGCCAATTTAAATCCCTTCATGTGAGCACTATGTGTGATTCAGGAGGTTTTCTGAGGGTATTAAAATAGCCACCAGGATGCACAAGACAAACATGCCTTTCAGAGAGAAGTCTTCTAAAGACTGTTGAGCAGATATACACACGTGTCAAATATTCAAAAAGCTGCACTCATATTTAAGCCGAGAATCAGAAGGCAACTGAAATCCAAATGTTTTAAAATATATTCAATGCAAACAAATCAGGTAGAGTGTTGTATACATGACTTTAATTCTTTTAAAATATCTTAAATTACAGTTTTATGTTTTTATGTGGCCACAAGGTGGAAGTTTTAATACATTAGTTCCACATATGATGCAATATGCAATCCTGGCTGAATTTGAAAGTCAAGG